CATCAGGTTTTCTGTCAACTAGTGAAGCAGACATTCATCATAAATGAAGCTGAGGTTGATAAACCCGGAGTCCTCTCTTGTTGGCAGGTTAGTCCATCACATGATGGTCACATGACTTGTGTTCTCATCCAATAGACGCTGGCCTGCATGTGCTGCACTTTTGTACCCGAGAGGGCAATCAAGCGCTACCTCACCATGCACCTGAAGAAGTAGGTTTGACCTTTGACCTCTGACCTTTGACCTCTCCTTGTAGAACAATTGAAAGGTTTCCAGACACTGAAATGGGTCGATTTGCTACTTTCTGTGACATGAATCTGAGCAGGACAAGAAAGAGGTGTGTCTATTGGTGATGTCATGATGACATCATTCCTTTTGTTTCTATTTTTAGAGATGTGGTACCTTCGAGAGATGAAATCATTGCCTGCTTGGTAATGAATATTAATTAATTAATGTCCAATTAATTATATTTATTTATATTAGGGTCGTAGAGATCTAAAGGCAGTTGTTTATTGTTATGGGGGTGGAGCTTGTAATATTGAACTAAATACTGCCACTACTGCTGGAGAGGTCTGAAGAAAAAATTAAAATATTAATTTTATTATTTTTTCTACATTTCTTTTGCTTTAGGTTGTTAAGAAGTTAAGTCTCGGCCTACAGATTGGTTCAGGTAACAATAGGTTTGCCCTCTTTGAAGAATATGCTGGAAACTTTCGTGTCATTGACGACAGAGTGGTCCTAGCAGATGTCCTGGCTAAATTTGAAATGTACACGATATTAGTACATGTACATGTATTTTAATAATAATAATTATTATTATTATTTTAATCTTTTTTTATTATTTTTTGTTGTTTATAGTGAGATGAAGGAAATAATGAAAAAAGGACAGAACATGCTCGACAAGAAGAGGCTCTTCTTTAAAATTTTCTGCTACATTCATCCCGAGAGGATCATGTATGACAGCATTGAAGCAACCTTCATGTTTGAACAGGTGAGGGTTAGTCTTCATTCCTGCATCTATAACTGTTAATTATTTGATTATTATTTTTTATTATTTTTTTAGCTTGCTGATGACATTGCTATGAACAGGCTTCCACTGTCTCATGAGGTGATGCTAAAATTGGGAGCTCTTCGTATGCAAGTACTGGACGGAGACCATGAGACTGGGTCCTTCCTGTTAGTAATAGAGAGAGAGGGAATTAAGATATCATTATTATTATTCTTTATTAATAGGAAAGACATTGATGAAGTGTATCCATTACCAGTCATTACTGCTCGTGCCAGGAGTCATCAAGATCAACTTGTGTCGGGCGATCTCCACGAGACGTACTATCAGGTAATGCTTGGATATTGTTGGATATTATTGGATATTATGGATCACAGAAAACCCTAAAAGCAAAGAACATTGGTACGCTAAGTAAAAAGTTCAAATTACCAGAGATTGGAGATAAGGAGAGAGCAGAGGCTGCAGTTCAAGTTGAGATGCAGAAGATAAGGGTGGACACCACGGAGTACTGGAAGAGACTGAGGGTTAGTGTCACATGACTGCATCATGTGATTATCATGTGACTATACAGGGAGTGTCAACATCAATGGCACAACAGAAATACCTTGAAATGATCATGGAAGCACCTGCTTTCGGTTTCAGCTTCTTTGAAGTTGAGGTACGTGTGTCATGTGACTATCATGTGACTTTATTGATATTACATAGTACAACACTCCTGATCAAAGGTTCCCAAAGAACCTTCTCTTTGGCGTTGGTGCCAGAGGTGTCTCGTTTTATCGAAATGGAGAAAGTAGCCCCATGAAGTTTTATCCTTACGAAATGTGAGTGGAGGTTAAGACAGGACTTGATTGACTTGTTTCTTTTACTAGTATAACGAGTTTTGGTGCTCCGGTACAGAACGTGTATCTGTTGGTAGTTGAGGCTCAGAACCCTATTTCAATAGAAACTAATGAGGTTAATTAATGTACAGTGTCTTGCTAGTCTTCCTTAATACCAGTGCATTGCATGTAGCTATCTCCTCCTGTTCATGCTTGGGATGGATATTTGTCTTTATAGCTTCAACTTTCCATTTTATAATAACTATACTGTATCTCTTTTCATTTTTCTTTCTCTTCCTTTCTTTCTCTCTCCATTTCTTTCCTCCAGGTTGTTGAGATAGCAAAGCTAATGAAGGCCTACATCTCATCAATTTCTGTTTAGTGTGTATCAATAATGTAATAGTAAATAATAATGTCAGACTTTGTTTCTTCTCTTCTCCTCATTCTCTCAATCGGTTTTAGTCAGGTCTCCTTAGTAGTTTTCATAATAATAATGATCATTAACTTATTTATTAGTTCAACTGTCACTTCTTTTAAATGAATTACATAATGAGTTGACATGGCTGTTGATTGATTAAATTCTAACGTAGCACTACTGGTTGAACTGATAATGAACACAATAGCACAGAGTAGCATCATAGTGGACTCTGATGAGAATTTCTGTATGAACGAATGCAACACAATTTATTTAATTATATAGAATAACTTGATGTAGATGTGACGACAAACATTTAGAAAATCTACCCTATATAGACTAGAGGCTCATCCATTGATGTGAGCAGCAACACAACAAAAACAACACGCACAATATATAAAGTAACAATAGCAAAAGATTTATTTACCAAATAGCATGACTAGTGGTGATTTACTGAACACAATAGCACAGAGTAGCATCATAGTGGACTCTGATGTGATTTCTTGCTTGTTATAACTACCTTGCAGGCTAATGACATCAAAAATGTAGAAAATTCCCACTCCTTGAATGCTTCTATAATGCCCTTCCTCATTTAAAAAAATTGAAGTGATTTTGACAATCAACACTGACGTGTGCCAGAGCCAAAATTCAATTTTTATTCTGTTTCCATAAAAATTAATGAACACAATAGCTCATAGTGAGCTCTGATGTGATATACTAGTCCCTGATTCTATTAAGGATCCCGACTACTGACATCAGAAATGATGTCTTGCATGTACTTTTGCTGTCCAACTCCTTCCAAAATGTTCATGTGCTTGCAGCAGTA